AATGTTAAGGACAAAGTTTAAAGACAAAATATTGTTTCTAGATTTTCAATGTTTGATAAGTTTCATTAAAAGTAACTCTCAACTCATTTTTTTCCCAAAATGTAATTGGGTGCGATTTTGTTAAACTCGGTCCAGTTGAAATCCGACGGCAAGGAAACCCCTACGTTTTCTCATAACCCCTTGTTTAGCTGCAGCTTACTTTTCTTTCGAGAAAAATTATCCTGAAAAGAAGCAAATCATAGTGTCGGAAAAATACTTGAGAGATAGGATTGAAAAATGGATCCTTGTTTAAAAGAACTGATAATGCACTCAGCAGGCCCGCCACATCCCATCTCGGGCCCTGGTATCAGTTTTCTGGCCCGGGCCCCTAGCACAGAGGGGGGTCCGGGGGGCCCCCCCGGAAAATTTTTTGAAATTTTAAATCTATTTGGACGCATTTTGAAGCTCTTATGATGGAGATTTTCCACTAATTTCTGTAGAATAATTACGCCTTTTTTTTACTTTCAGCACCAAATACTTTCGAATTGTTGCATTCAAAACATCTATAAATTTTTTTTGAGGGGGGCAGATGATACTTTTCAATTCTAGGGGGAGCCGGGCCCCCCTGGACTCCCCTTTCGTACGTCTATGGCAAGGGAGTTGAGCCATTGAAGTCGAGGATGCCCAGACAGGAGCCTCTTAGCATTCGACAACGGAAGAAAATGAAACGCAGTTACTAAAAATATCATTCTACATGTACTCAAAATTTTGAAAATAGATAGAAATCTCTAAAAAAGTAAGAAAAATTGTATAGTGCCCTAGCGTGTTTTTGAAACTTTATTCACCTTTGGCGGAATTTTTAGGGTAATTTTTTCACTTTTCCTTGCGAGACAAGGGTTACAAATGAATTCGTAGTGGTTTGTCACCTGCGTCACGGGCCCCTCCAGGGCCCGGGCCCCGGTACCAAGGACCCAGTATCCCCCCCCCCCCTTGTGGCGGGCCTGGCACTCAGGTTTTTGTTATGTATCGGACTCCAAGGAGTTAATCGTTGTTTTAACTTGTTATCATTACGGGAGCTGGTAACCGTCAAGCTGTAGGTACCATTACGTTTTGTCATGATCGCTAATAATTATACGTCATCGATAAGTCGGTCACGGACAGTTTTGTGATAAAAAGGCGATTGAAGTCATCTAACTCGAAGAATGAGCGAGAGACGGAAAAAAAAATCTCATGTTAAATTTTTGAAATATCGGCCGTGGAGCAAGTGTCGTTCAATTATTGATTGAATTAATCGAACCATTAATTTGCTGCAATAGTTGAAAAAGCAATTTAGCAGGACCTGAAGTGAAGTTTGAGAATAATTTAGAGATAAATAGGAACAACACGACATATGTAGTAGAATGCACGCTCTGTAATACTTTCATGCTATCGGCGCTGTGCGGTTCCGGGAAAATTCCGGTGGAATCTTTAAACTTAGTTTCAACCATCATTGTCTTCAAACATTTATTTATTTTGTTGTTTTGTCGTTGCATGTCCTATGAACATGCTTGATCCCCCTACTGTAATCGAAGCGCAAAATAGCCACTCGAAGAGCAGTATCCATTCGTAAGAAAGTTCTTATGCACAGAAACTTAGAGAACGGGAGTCGTCCTCGATCAAGCCTCGATAAAATTAATTTATCTCTAAGTTCAGGCGTCGAAAATCCAACTCGTGGATTTTCCCATTTCCTCTTGTATGAACGAAACTAGCTGAACCATAGAAGTAGTTTTCGAGGTTGAACCTGAGCGCTCCGATGGAGGAACGCGACGCTGCGCTTACCGTTGGGTCAGTTAGCGCATGATTCGCCTTCAGTTTTCGTGATACTTCCCCTCGACCGCAGAGCACGTTAAGTTGTATCCCGCGTTTGTGTCTCGCTTCGGGCTCCGACCATCGTCGACCTGTTCTTCCTCGGAATTGAAAGCGCGCTATTCCTCTCTGATTCTTCTACATTTCACTGAAAAAAAATACACTAAAAATTAATACTTTTCTATTAATAAAAAAAAAATCTTTTAACTAAATGTTTAATCCGAAATTAATTTTTTTTTTTTTAGTATTAGACATTTTTTTTTTCAATTCATACCTAGGCACTTAGATAGTCTTAATCATGAAAAAAAGTACCTATGTCATCTGTGACATTTTGTTTTCAATGAAAAAAAAGTCTTCACTCTAAATGAATTTTTTTTTTTTTTTTTTTTTGAATCAAAGAACATGTTTTAGGTATTTAGTTTAAAAAAATGTTTTTAGCCAATTTTTTATTAGCGTTAGCTCTCAAAATTCGTCTAACTGCTCGAATCCTCATTGGCTTTCGGTTTCTGCTTGAAGAAATGTAGACGAAAGAATTTTAACGAACGGATACTAACATTTTTCTGTGATGGTAAAGTTGTTTAATAGAGGATGAGCTCAATCAAGCACACTTTGTTTTTAAAGTAATTCGCGCTCTTTTAAATTACTGATTTTTAGATTATTCTTTTCTTTTTTTAATAGTATATTTTCAACTTGGACTGTAAAAACTCGTTAGTTTCTCTTACTTTCTTTCTTTCTTTCTTTCAGTTTAGTGTCGATTTCATCGCACCGTAGTTCAATGCAACTACATGTTCTTCTGAAGTGCACGTTGATACATTATGGCGTCAACATTTTTAAATATTAAAAATCAATGACTCGACAACAACACTTTAAACATTCGTAAGTTACTTAGACCTCGATGTTCGGAGCACGAGTTGTTGTATTGCTTTTACGATTTTAATTTTTTTCGTGTCTCGAAAGCTTGGCCGTATATTTCTTTTGCTTCATATTATTAAGAATATTTCAATTATTATAACAGAGGTGCTCCGAAATTTCCCTGCTTATGCCTACATACCTCTATAAATGAGAGAATTTTATCAGTATTCTATTTGCTGAATTTATTTTGAAAGAGCAGTGGCCTAGTAAATCGGCGCGTGAAAATTCGTGTCGTTAGAGCATGATAGTTATATCACCTAGAAACGGAAATCATAAAATCGTATTTTAACTGTCTTCAAAACTTACAAATAAACTGTCTCGTAAGCTAAGTCACCTGCTCGGAGTTTTATTCGTGTTATGTTGTTTCACCATCACTCATCAGTGCATTCAACGGGTGTTTCCTTTCTGAGAAAAGTTCTTGCTCTTTTGAACGAAAATCTATGTCACTATTCAATTTTTTTTTTTAATTTTGCTGTTCATTCACTTTAGTGCAAACGACAGACCGTTAATGAAAGCTACCCGCGAAAATAAATCTGTTGCCAAATCGAACGTGCAGCAGCATTCCTAAGTAGAATGGCATCTTTGTGAAGATTCATTGAAACTTTATATCTGAAACTACCATCACGAACGTCGCTCATTGACTCGATCTATAAAGAAGAGTTGGGAGAGACTTATTATCACGCTATATCGCTTTTTTACACATTGAGTCAGTGGGCGACATCCGTTATGGTAGTTTCCCTAATAAATTTTCAATTAATCTTCACAAATTTGATGATTCTCACTCATGTGAGTATTAATGCCGCTAAACGTTATGCATCAATTTCTTGCATTATGGCTCGGGCATTAAGATAATAATTATTGATTCCTGAAGACACAAACCGTGAGGCAGCGCAACGTGGTGGTGGATCTCGTTCTTCGTCACCTTAACTCGGAATCAATTTTTTTTTTCTCTCTCTCCGTGATTTTTAGAAAAAGCTGGTTGGTGATATAACATTCTAGGTTCGAGACTCAAAATTTTCGGAAGTAAATCCCTCCGTCGGATTTAAAATGTACTGAGTGTTGCCGTACCGAAAACTCTCTTGCACATAGATGTCTTTCATTGCAAGGTTGACAACAAGTAAAATGTGTAATTATTGTTCAAAGCTGGAAACATCCCCCTCCGTGGGCGAATCTGGGGGGGGGGGGCGCAGGAATTTACGTGGCCCCTCCCAAGAAACGTGAGGGATTTTGGTAATTAAGTGCGCGACGTATCTGTTCTTCTGGAAATTGCAATTTGGTCGATTTTTCTAGAACTGCTCAAAGTTGCTCCCGAGGCGACTCAATTTTTCTGATTTTTTCGGGGAGGCCCTCGGAAACTCCCCTTCAAATTCAGGAAAATTCCCCAACACTCTTTCGGAGCCAGGGGAGACCCGCAAACTCAGGCAGATGTCCCTTAGTGGAGCGTTCTTTGTGTCCCCCACCCCGGATTTCCCTTGTTGAGGTGCCTTTTTGGCTCCTAGTTCTACCCTTGTTCCCTAGTTTAAGTTATCAAAAACCGGCGCCATTTTTTAGCCCGAACTAGGCAGTGTTTTTCGTGCCCCAGCCCAGATTCTCCTTGTTGAGGTACCTTTTTGGCTCCTCGTTCTGCCCATGTTCCCTACTTATAGTTATCAAAAACCGGCGCCATTTTTCAGCCCGAATTAGGCAGTGCTCTTCGTGCCCCCCACCCCAGATTCCCCTTGTTGAGGTGCCTCCTTGGTTCCTCGTTCTGCTCATGTTTCCTAGTTTCAGGTTTCAAAAACCGGCGCCATTTTATACCCCGGTTTTTGAGACCGAGCGCCATACGACCAGAAAGGGACCCCGCGGGGGAAAGGTATCGGAAGTGCGAGATGGCGTCGCACTCGCGGCTCGCACTTATTCAAAACGGGGTTCACGAAGTGCATAGCACAGCGCCGGATCGGATCGGCGCGGCGTCAGCTCAGCGTCGCGACGCCACCGCCGCGCCGTGGATCCGGAGCCCGCTCGGAGGGTTAGCTAATTAAAGCAACAGCGCTCCACTCGACAGCTAGACGAGCTGTAGAGGAGCCTTCCACGCTTTCGGTCCGCTATCACGAAAAAATAAAGTCGAGGCAAAGCAAAGCGGTGAACGTCCTTGGTCTCTCCTGTTGAGCCGTTGGCGCATGCGCAGTGTGACGCGGGCGGCGCGGCGCGGGGAGGGGCGCGCGGCGGCGGCGGAGTCGGAGTTCCGCTCAGCTGAGCGATGACGAGGGTTCGCCGCTCGCCGCTCTCCGCTTTTGTTCGCGTCGGACTCGGATGTGAAAACGGATTCGTCGTCGACAACCTCCGCCACCCCCGTGCACGTGCAACACCCTCGCCTTCAGGCTTTCATCCCTTGCCTGCCTCCGGCTCCGCGGACTGGTCTCACTAGGTAAATCCTGTTGCGCCCGCACCCCGTTCGACGTCCGATTTTTCGGGAATCTCTCCCACCGCCATTTTGGATTCGTGAATCGTGATCGCCGTCGCCCGGATCAGCGTGCGTTTCGTCACCACGCTGTACCGGATCGACGTCATGAACGTTCCAGCGTTGCCAGTTCGCCCGATTAAATATTTATTTTTGAGGATCGTTGTGAATATTCCTCCTCTAAATTGGATTTTAAGGTCTCCGGATCGACGTCATGAACGTTCGAGCGTTGCCAGTTCCCCTGATTAAATATTTATTTTTGAGGATCGTTGTGAATATTTCTCCTCTAAATCGGATTTTAAGATCTCCGGATCGACGTCATGAACGTTCCAGCGTTGCCAGTTCCCCCGATTAAACATTTATTTTTGAGGATCGTTGTGAATATCTCTCTTCGAAATCGGATTTTAAGATCTCGTCGCCTTCGGCCAAAGTATCACGAGCGCCATGCGACGTTTAAAAATTTCCGCCGCCATTTTATTTTTTTACTAAGAAATTGTTCAACGATGCTGTTCGAAAATTTCACTGAATTTTCTTTGTGCTCCTGATGAATTTCAGTGATATTTTCGAACAGATTCAACTGACAATTTCTCTGTAAAAAAATAAAGTGGCTGCGGAAATTTTTAAACGTCGCATGGCGCTTGTGATACTTCGGCCGAAAGGTGACGTTCTAATGGTCAGATACAACCGAAATCAGCCTAATTACGTCAGACGTTGCCGAATTTTCCGTGATGATTAATTTTCAAACAGAAAACTAAGCCACATTGAAACTAGACCATTTTTTAATGTATTCTTCTCGGATAAATTCTCTATAACTGTGGTAGTATCAAGTCGCAACTCTTTAAATTTTGAAGGAAAAGAGTTCATAAGAAGATTAGACACCTCCAGAAAATTCGCGTTTTCCCAGGAAATTCGGCAGCGTTCGAATGTTCACTCGGTGTTTTTCCACAGCAGGGTAGTGCTGATCCCAAGTGGCTCACAGTCTTACGCAGTCGTGTTGAGGAAAAACGTCGTATGGTCATTCAGACTTAGCGAAATTTTTGTTTCCCTGACTTACTTCCCTCCAATTTGAAAAAGAATTTTATTTCCAGTATAATCTCAAAAATTCAAAAATGTTGAGGACAAATACTAATAACTTGCTTCAAAAATTAATTTTATTTTTGAGGAAAATTTGGCAACATTCGAATGTCCCTAAGTACGGTGTTTTCCCTTAGCATGGCAGTATTCCCTCTAATTTCAGGATTTTTCCGTCAAGATTTTCCAATTTTTTCCCCTTATCAAAGGCCCTGTTACTTACAAGAATATTTGATTTCGATCGCTTGCTTCATTTTTCAGGGTGAGGTGCTATGCGTCCCCTATAAATAGAAAATTAAGCACGACAAAATATGATTCCTCCACAAACCTAGAATACCGTTGGGTGGACCTGGTGAATATCTCTGAATTCAGCTGAAAATGAAGAAAATTGCTTTATTTTGCATACTTACTTCAGTTTAAACTTCTTTCCCACAAAAATTCCAAGTTTAGTGCAGTCAAACTAAGCGCGTATTTAGAACGTTTTCAACGATTAATGGTTTTTTTCTGGGCACTGAATTTTTCTTCACAAGTCAGCTTTATCAATTAAAGTTGGGGGTGAATTTTTGTTTCATCAAACATCCAGAATGTGTCAAAAATTTTGAACAGGAAATTCGTTGTTTCCCTCTCGAAAGAACGTAACTATATTTCAATGTTGCCATATATCACCTCGTAAATAACATTTTTACCATGAGAATCTTGAACATTTTTACCTGAAAATTTCCCTGCGTTTAACCTAGAACGAATCACCGCAAGGCTTACCCTGTCCACTTAGCGGTCCTCTGAAAAACCTATAAAAAATCTGAAAATTCATCAGTGCTTGTAATGTAATTATCGTACCTACAATTTTTATTTCAAATTATTTTTGGATTATTTCGGGAAAAATCGTTTGAATTAACGTCGGAGAACCTTTTATGACGAGCTTTCTGCCCAAATAAGCACAGCATCGCCGAAACTGAATTACTAGTCGTCCCCTTTGAGGATGCGACTATTTCGACTCTTAGGAGCGATTTTTGCCTACCCGGTGAAATTGAAGGCGGACCGCGGACCGGAATCGGAATCTCTGTCACGGAGCGCTGTTCGCCTTCAACTTCGAAGGTAGGCAAAAATCGCTCCCAGGCGTCGAAATAGTCGCATCCTCCGAAACGGACTTCTAGCGTGCGGTAGGAACGTTCAGGAGAAATTGATCGTGATGGCTCGCGTAGTTCGGTTATATAAGATCGCTCCCACAAACTCGTTCAGCGGACTTTTCCTCCGTAACGAAACTCCGTTGAAAATACATAACACTAGCTACGATAATCTGGACCAACACGGATAGAATTAAATTGCTGATTTAACAACTCAATTGCAAAAAAAAAAGTGGCAGCAACGTTTCAACGTAGATTTCACAACAAAAAAATGCTACTTTAACCACTATTGTAAGCTAACTTAACCACGGGGGTGTCTAAAGTAGCATTTTTTTGTTGTAAAATCACATTGTAACATTGCAGTCACTTTTTTAAAGCAATTGAACTGTTAAATCAGCAATTGAATTTTTTTCCGTGAAGTCTAATGGAAAAGAACTGCGTCACATCAAGAGCAAATCAATAAAAGATGTTCGTAGTGTCATTCTTCTACATGACTGAATGATAATGACAAAGTTCACTACCTGTTTTCACATTTCATTATTCACATCGTAGATCGGATCGAATTTTTAAAATGCGTCAATTTTGTCCAGATTAAAATTCTACAATCATTTTGTTTAATTTTAATGGGTCTGTTGCGCGAAAGAGATACAGCGAAGTGTATAGACTTCCTGCTTGCAAAATGGCACGAAAATCGCATCGAGCATGTCACAAAAGTCTGAAATCTACTCATTGGCGCGCGATCTGGTGTAGCTTTTTCTAAGTTACCGCGTCTGCGGGTAGTTTGCCATATTGGCAGACAATCAGGTTCGCCCAGAGAGAAATTTAACCCATATAAACAAAGTCTTGAGATCTGATAAAAACTTCCCTTGCGCAAGATTTCAATATAGAGTTAAAACTTTTGTTTTTGTAAAACAAAGAAAGAAGCAGAAGACGCATATTAGAAAACGAAAAAAATCATTCACTAGAAAAATTTAGTGAAATTGTTTTTATTACGATTAGGTCTCTCTAAAAACCTGACAGGAGGCCACCATAGAAAGCTGCCCGTAGACGCGGTAAAGTTGGAAATATACGTGTTACAGACTACTCAGATATCGCGCTAGGGGGTACATAACAGATTTTTTTGATGTAGCCAACGTTATGTTCAAGCAATTTTACACATGGCGAGTCTATTCACTTTCCCGTAATACTACTGTGTGCAACAGACTAATTCTTCTTTTTTTTTGAGAGAGGGAGGAGATGATTTGTTTTGAAGGTTCACTGTCCTGGAAGAAAGATTTAAACGAAAGAAAGAAAAACACCCTGTCAGTTAAATGAACCTAAGGCTTGCCCACCGGGAATTTAGTGCGGTTTCAATTTGTAGGATGTTATTCTCCGTATTTTCAGTGATGAAAAACGATTCGCAAGCTCGCGAAATACAGGTTATACATTTTACTAAAGAAAAACAAATCAACAAATCATATAAGCCAAATTCAGTATTGCTGAACGAAACCCAAGCATGCAAGGTGAAAAGCTTTGATGAAGGTATAATAAAGATACAGTAGTGTAAAATAATTGTAACAACATTGTTTTAAGGTATGAAGTATTTGTCAATTTTGAAATTTTCTCTAAATGCGGCGAAAATTTCTTAAGTTAAATTGAAAACTTCTGACTATCTTCTTTCTTCGCGCCACTACCTATGAGAGTTACACTCTATTTACGGCCAACGTCCAGCACAGGTACTTTAATGAGAGATATTCAAAATGAAAAATCATATCCTTTTTTTTTTGAAAGGTCGATTGTCCCTAAATTTTCTCTTCGTTGCCTTAAAATGCTTTAATTTTTTCTACTCTTTCCGAATCTCTGTTGTGTCGTCCTCTTCGAGTTTCTGAGACGATTTTAATCAATCTTCGCCTGCCGCATTTTTTTTATTTTTCTTTTTTTTTGCGACGTTAAGCTTAGTAGTTACATTTAAATCGACGAATGCATCACAGATAACCGACTTGGTTGCTTCAAATCACTTTCTCATCCGTTGAAATGCAAGACAACTCTATGCATTAGTGAACTTTATCAGAAAGCTTGAACTCATTTTATGTTTTTTTCAGATGAAACGGTTTCATGGTCTTTTTTTTTTTTAAATTTTGAACGAACATAAAAAGACGGGTACATTCAAGCTAATTTTGGAAGTATGAAGGCACCCTTCAAACTCAACGGATAACGAGATAGTAGAGGGTTGCGCCAAACCGCACGCACAGTTGGCGCGACTCAAACGCTCCGTGCGCCTTCAATATGATTTGATACACTACGATTCCCGGAGAGTTAAAATAGTCGCATCAATGCCCCCGTTTAAGAATCGAATATTCACTCGCAGTCAGAGCTGTTGAACTTGACATCTGCCCGCTTTATAGAAACGAAAATTTCATTGTATCGCAGAAAAGTTATCTTTAGGGTTTTATGGATGTTAAAATGTTTTTTTTTCCCTTCCAAAAAATTTTACTCTCTTAGGCATACCGTTTACCTAGTTTCAATTTTCTCCTTTTATTTTTTCTCTCTCATTCTACATTGAAAAGGTCTCTACAATTCGGTTCTCGGGTATTCCTATAATATTTATCTCCGCACTTCGGAAGTGGATCTCCGCCGAATCCACCCCTTCGCTCTTCTGTCTTGCCTTGAGGGTATAAGTAGTTTCTTTCGGTAGTCAACGCTCCAATTTGCCTGTTGATGACTGATGACCAAAGAGGTTCAGAAAATCAAACCTAATTTGTAAAAATTCGCGTATCCAAGTGCTTGCCCGAC